TCTCTCTCCCTTCTCTCACTCTCTCTTTAAAAAAAAAAATTCTCTCTCTCTCTCTCTCTCTCAAATAAATAAATAAATAAATAAATAAAAAGACTGGGAATGTAGCTCAGTGGCAAAGTGCTCTTGGCTTCAATCCCTAGTACCACCAAAAAAAAAAAAAAAAAAAAGGAAGAAAAAGAAAAAGGGCTGGGGATGTAGCTCAGTGGTAAAGTGCCCCAAGGGTTCAATCTCCAATTGTAGGGAGGGGGTGGAGAAAGTGTGTCCTGATGATTCCAACTCTGAAAATGGTGGGTAGTTCAGTGGAAAAGTGTCTGCCTTGCATTCGCAAAGCCCTGGGTTCAACTCCCAGTTCCAAAAAAGACAAAAAAAAAAAAAATGAACCCCATCAAATGGCCAAGGAATATGGACACAGAGCCCCACCTTTCCTCACAAACTTCTAGCATTCACATGCAACTAACTTCCATGAAAGACTCCAGAGTCTCACTATCCTCACTCTTCACCCACCGGATCCCACTGTCCCAACTCTTCCAGCCCTACCTGGAAGCCTCTTGTGAAAATGGCTAACCAACAGCTTTGAGCTAGTCACTTACCTTTGGTCCCTGCTGGTAGATCTGCAGCTCCTCCACTGTGAAAGACAGCCACAGTGGTGATGGCTGCCGTAGAATCAGACGCAGCTCCAGTACTCTGGTCATGTCACACAGCATCTGACATATACACAAACAAGAACCCAGAGAAGACCCAATTCACTTCCCAGGAACCTCCCAAACAGCAGTGAGCAAGTTCTTTGCAAAGGAAAAACGGTAGTTGTTCCAAGGAACATGCCTGGAAGCCACAGCCCAAACAAGTCTTTCCCCCCTCTTCCCTCCTGGTGTACTGATCTAACCCCCACATCTCTAAGTCCTCATATTGGCTTCCCTGGCCATGCTGAGGTCAAGCTGACCTGGTGCTTGAACAGCGATATATACTCCTGGGCTCCCTCCTCACTGTGTGGATCAGGCATCAGACAGTAGTCCCGCAGGCAGGTCACCCACTTCGCTGGTGAGTGTGTTGAAGTATGCTGACGGACACGAATGCTTAAAAAGGCTGTGTAGTAATTCTTAAATGTGATCTCCTGCAACTAGAGCACACACAACTCACCATGACAAATCAGGCCCAGAGTCTGAAAGGATCAAAGACACTATCTTCTTTCTTTTGAAATGCACTCTTTTGCTAAATGTGCATGTATGTGGGTGGGTGTGTAGGTATGTATGTGTGTGTAGTGCTGGGGATTGAACCCAGGGCCTTGAGCTTGCTAGGCAAGTGCTCTACCACTGAGGGGCATCCTCAGCCCTGCTAAACAATTTTGTTGTTGGTTTTGCTTTAGTTTTTGTTTCTTTCAGTGCTGAAAGTGAACCCAGGGCCTCATGTATACTAGGTAATCACTTTACCACAGAGCCACATCTCCAATTCATCTGCTAAACAATCCAACAAGCACCGCTAGGATCCAAACACAATTTTGCTTTTCTAGAAGAACCCACAGTCTAAATGAGTAAGTGCATGCAAACAAACCATGAGTGCAGATCTTGCCACATGTTTAACATGTGTCTGCATACACATCAGAGTCATCCAAAGAAATTTTTTAAAATACAGATGTCCAGGGTCCACCTCAAACCTACTAACTCATAATTTCCACTGTCAGGTCCTCTCAATAGTTTACCAGGTGACAATAAGGAAAAACTTGGGAGATAACCACACACTGTAACCCAAAGTGCATGGGGCCCAGAGAGCTAGTGAGGACAAGACAAAGAATGGCTCTGAATGCCAGTCCTTTAGAAATAGGATTTATCCTCTGTGTTGAGCTCACTCAGTGTTCAGTCACTCTGCCAGCTGATATAGAAATGCAATTGGAGAGTAAAACCTGGAATCATTGGGAGTCTCTAATGAGAAATGAGTTACACCTGACCTCTGTCAGAGACTGCAAGAATGGGGAGGCAGGTAGGTTTCACGGTAAATCATTGTTAACTAAACCCAGCTGTGACCAAGGACTGACCTGATCCCTTACCTCTAATTGTGTGTGTGTGTGTGTGTGTGTGTGTGTGTAGTATTTCCAGTATCATATACCCTACTCTCCGGCACCCTGGTGCCAGTGCTCTTCTGGATGCGGGGAAGAGGTGTGGAAGAGAACAGGGCAGAAAGTTCTAATAAACACTATATATTCTATTGAAGAAATAAATAAATGAGTGATTTATTAATTCGTAAGGTCAAAGGGCAGTACAAGAATACAGAGGCTTTCTGTAAACGATTACTTCTGGGAAACGCCCAAGTTTCCAAGTTGCCCCGCCCAGGCGCCCGGGTCTCGCGCAAGGGGCGTGCTCACCTCGAAAGGCGCAAGGCTGGGGAAGGTGACATCGATAACCAGCACGCCAGGCCGGCCTTGGGAAGTCCGTACGTCGCCCACCTGCAGGGCTACAGTGCTTTTCACATGACAGGGCACCGACACGCGGGACATGATGCCAGCAGCCGCGACCAGGTTCAGTCGTCGCTTAGAACCTCCAACCTTCCTGGCTTCCGAGCAAAGGACCAAGAACTACAACTCCCGGGAAGCCTCGCACTTGGCCAGGCTAGCCAATCACCGGCGTTTAAGGCAGGCCAGGAGTCGGAAGTGCCGGCGGAAGTTTTCCTTTAGCCAATCACGATGGGAACCTTAAAGTCCACTATCCGCTGCGATCTGCAACGGTCGACTTTTTCAGAATCCGAACCTTTATGTCCACTTGTAGCACTTCCAGTCTCTCTGAATCTCCGCTATTTGATTCGGTAGGGCGGTAGCCACTTAACTGTGTATATAGCCATGAACATGAGTGAGCGTAGCGACTGGCCAACATTAATCGCAAAGATAGATATTAGACTTTTTTTTTTTTTTTTTTTTTTTAAGGGATTGAGGATGCCTGGTGCAGTCGCGCACGCCTGTAATTCCCAGAGAGTAAGGCGGGAGGATCTCAAAGTTCAGACCAAGGAATGGCCTAAAGAAGTTGTACTTTCCAGCCCAGGCCTGGAAACCCTCAGTGATAGGAAATAATATGTTTCCTCCTCGGCCACTGACAGGGGAAACAATTTGTAACCTTTAGTCTCCTGGCCATTTTCATCTCTATTTTGATTTAAGCTAATGATTCCCTTCCTAGATCCTTCCAGGTTCCTGAGATATTTACTTTTCAGGGAAGTTTCCCATGCTGGAACAGAGATTTCCCCAAATCCAAGAAGACTACAGGCCTTCTAAGGCATCCAGAGAGTACAGACAAGCTCTGGCCTTCAGGCTCCTGGTGTTGAGAGCACAGCGACAAACACACACTTATGTGGCCTCTCATTGCAGATAAATCTAACCTCATAGCTCTCTGGTAGGGAGCCCCTCCAATCCATATTCTGGTAGGTTGACCTTTTCAATATGAATCCTCATTGAGTCCCTCGATTTTATTTATTTATTTTTATTATTTTTTTTTTTTAAGAGAGAGTGAGGAGAGAGAGAGAGAGAGAATTTTTAATATTTATTTTTTAGTTCTCGGCAGACACAACATCTTTGTTGGTATGTGGTGTTGAGGATCGAACCGGGGCCGCACGCAGGCCAGGAGAGTGCGCTACCGCTTGAGCCACATCCCCAGCCCCTATTATTATTTTTTAGAATTTTAATTTTTTTTTTTTTTTTAATGATTGGCGGACACAACACCTTTGTATGTGGTGCTGAGAAGAACCCGGGCCGCACGCATGCCAGGCGACCTCGCTAACGCTTGAGCCACATCCCCAGCCCGAGTCCCTCGATTTTAGACCCAAGTACAACTCTTTTTAATAAGTCCATGGATCTGGAACATGAATAGCCCCTACCAAAAAGTTGGTCAGTACCTTCCACTTTTTCCAACTGGGCACCTTAACTCAAGTTCCTCCCACATACTGCCTTCTTCCTTCCCACATTCTACTCTACCCAGGACATTCTACATCTTGCTCTTAACCCACATTTCCACACTTTTATTCTAGTCTTTGTTTTTGTTTTGTTTTGTTGCTGGTATTAGGGGTTGAACTCAGCAGTGCTCTAACACTGAACTAGATGCTCAGTTCTTTTTAGTTTATTTGTTTGTTTGGGGGGTGAAAGGCGAGTGACTCACCCCAGTCGGATATTCAACCAAGAGATTTCATTGGGGGAGCCGCCTCAAGGGGAAGAAAAGGAGACGAAGAGAGCAGAGAGCATGAGCTTGCAAGCTTCAGCTTAAGAAGGGTTGCTTGGTGACTTGGCGGGTGCTGATTGGCATGGTAACTCAAGTAGGGCGACGGGGCACTGTGTCCTTTGGGGATTGGTCAAGAACACTTTTGACTTTGGTGGCCTTTRGAGAGAGCGGGAGGGGTAAGGTATTAAGGTGATGTTCTTCTCGCCAGATGGAAACTTAACTTCAGCAGGGAGAAACCCTATGAGAGAAATAAAACCAAAAGGCAAGGTCTCTCACACACCCAACAGGAGTATCAGGAGTTAAACTCTGGTGTGCTCAACCACTGAGCCACATCCCCAGCCCTATTTTGTATTTAGAGACACTGAGTTGCTTAGCACCTCTCTGTTGCTGAGGCTGGCTTTGAACTTTGATTCTCCTGCCTAGCCTCCCAATCTGCTTAGATTACAGGTGTGTGCCACCACACCCAACATCTTTTTAGTTTTTGAGACATGGTCTAGCTAAATTGCCCAGGCTGTCTTCCAATTTGCAATCCTCCTGCCTTAGCCTCCCAAATAGCTGGGACTCTAAGTGTGTGCCACAATGCTGGGCTCCTAGTCTAGTTTTAAATTTGAATTTTTCAGAATCCTTTCTTAATTCTTGGACTAATTGGGTCATTACACATTGTCATAGTGGTCTAAAGGTTTTATTTTGATCCTCACCTAAAGCCTGTCTCTCACACTAGCTCATGTAGAGCAGAAGGCAGGAATTAAATTTCTCTGTTTAATGACTATATCCAACATCTTTTAGCAATACGATGGGCACAGTAAGTATATTCCAAATGAACAAATTATTGTTTGATTTTAGGAATTTCCACTTAAAGCCAAAATAGAGTCACCAAGAAAGGACTTACCCTCTTACTTGGCTCCACTAAAGGACAAGACAAAATATATGAAAAAATGGCTTTTAGATATTACAAATCAGTCACACAAGATTTTTTTTAAATATTTGTTTTAGTTGTAGTTGGACACAATGCCTTTATTTTATTTATTTATTTTTATGTGGTGCTGAGGATTGAATCCAGGGCCTCGCACATGCTAGGTGATCACTCTACTGCTGAGCCACAACCCCAGCCCTCACACAAGATTTTAAAGACAAGACATTAAATGAACTTAATGATTATCCCAGTTTTCTGTCTAAAGAGTGTTTCCAAGCACAAAGAGGAGGAATCCAGGTGGGATCTGGTAGACTCCCATGTTGAAGAGGCAAAACTGGATAATTTAAGAAGGTAAAAATGGCTAGAGGCTAAAAAGGACAAAACCCGAAGAGAGATTACTCGGAAGATCTCCAAGGGGTTCCCCTTGAGCCTTAAGCTGAGTAATAATCAGTACATGCATGTGAGGAAAATACTCAAAGCCCAGGAAAGAATTACCTCAAAATAAAAAGAGATAATAATCATCAAATCTTAACTCAGAAGCTGGGCACAATGGCATGCACCTGTAATCTCTACTTGAGAGGCTGAGGCAGGAGGATCACAAGCTGGAGAGCAGCCTGAGGAATTTAGCCAGACCTTAAGCAACTGAGTGAGATCTCTCTAAAAATAAAAAAGGGCTGGGTATGTATTTCAGTGGTAAAGTACCCCAAGATTCAATCCCCAGTACCAAAAACAAAATTAAAAAAAAAAAAAGTTGTATAATTTTGTCCTTTTTTCTTTCCCTTGAGATAGGGTTCTATTTTGTTTTTATAACCAGGGATTGAACCCAGGGGTACTTAATCACTGAATCACATCCCAGCCCTTTTTATTTTGAGACAGAATCTTGCTAAATTGCTTAGGGCCTCATTAAGTTGCTGAGGCAGCCTTGAATTTGAAATTCTACAGCCTCAGCCTCTCAGCTGGGATTACAGTCTTGTGCCACCATGCCTACCTTGAGATTGGGGTTTTCTGTATTGCCCAGTGTCTTTTTTTTTTTTTTTAAGAGAGGGAGAGAGAGA